TAGCCGTCGTCAGCCAGCCACACCCAAGCCCGAAGTGTGGAACACCCGAGCCTCGAACTCGCGACCTGTTGGTTTAGAAGTCAACGCCTCTACTCACCGGTGAGTAGGCATCCCAAGAAATATAAGTTGAAGTTAAAGGCGTCACCGGTTTTTTTAACAGCTGCCAAGCCGTAGCCAGAAGCTGCGGTCAGATTGATGCAAAATATGGATAGCCTGACATTCACGCCACTCGGAGCTGTCTCGCCGGGCGGTCACCGCTCCCACATTCGACCGTTAAAGCGCTGATGTCGGACACTGAGTCAAGCTGAGCGGGATATGACCAGACCTTGTGTTTTAGATCCAAACTCTGTAGAATAAGCTGATGTCGGGGCATTTTCATGTGCAATTTTCAAAAACTTTCTTAAACTAAGACGCATTTTCCCTAGTTGCACCGTAACGAAAACTCGTTCAAAAAGGCGTCAAAGGTATATATTCATGTGTGGAAGGTCCACATGTAGAACCAGGTAGGTGTAAGTCAATTTACAATAAAATATAATATACCAAGAGGTCATATGGTGGCGATGAAGGCGGGAAGTCGCAAAAAACCCGAAGTCAAGTCACAGCCTGGCTCTGTCATTAGATGACAGAACCGAGGGCGAGAAAAAGGGGAACTGAATGGTGTGATCGACATTCTTGATCTGAAAGGGGATAGGGGAAGTAAAAATGACCTTTAAAACTAACTCGAAGCTGGCTGGGACACAGGAAAGGTCGCTGCGGTCAGTCCGTCAGGGTTGAAGTGTACTGCGACCATGTAAATGCAGGGGTTGGTAAGTTGGGAGAAGAAAAGTTACGATTGTCACTAAAATACGTCCCATGGGTAAGGCTGCTTTTGAAGTCATACGAAGACTTTGGCCAGACCATCTGCACCAGCGCTGGCCATCAAGGGCCGTGTTGGATGGAAGGCAACACAATGGATAGACTCGTCAAACTTCTTCCGATGACTCGTCAACTCTTGGACGCAAGTCTTTGTCTCGATATCCCATAGGCGTATCGAACAGTCGTGGCCTAAGTATAGACAAACAAAAGATGTGATATAAAAATGTCTGCTTAAAAGAAATGAGTAGGTATATTTTATGTATTAACAGTCTAACGCCGTACTCGCTGAAAGGAGGTAGGAACCCTGTGCGTCGACAGCTATGCTGGTCACTGCGTCCAAATGAGCGACCATACTGTGTACACACCTTCCGAGACTGGTATTTAAAAATCGAATTTGCCTGTTCTCGTGGGCAGAGATCAGAAGAGGAAGGGTTGGGTGTGAAACAAGACTGTTTACAGGACCGGCAAACGCGGGCGGTGAATCGTCTGAAACAGAAAAAAAGCCAAGAATCAGTTGCGCGCTAGATTCAGTAATTGCAAAGACAGCACCAGTGAGTGGCGGCGTAAAATTTACGACTGGCGCAGCTCTGTTGCTAGGGTCATTTGGAAGCCCAGGCGACCCAACATAAAGCACCATGAAGATGCGCACTCGTAAAGTGGCTAGTTCGTCTAGAATGGAATGCTACGCATCGGGGGGAGAGCTGCGGGACTCCTGAGGCAGTACTCGGCAACGCTTCGTCACGCGTCAGTTAAGTCAGCATTACAATGAACTGAACAGCCATATGGGACCAAGCTATATTCTCTCAACAATAAGGACCCCGTGTTGGATATCCAGAATCAAAAATCCTACTACGTTCGTCTTGAAAAGGTGTAACAAGTATCGAGAGCGGTCGTTTCAACCCTACCAAAAAGTACTGGCTCTGTCCCCCATTAATCGCTAACTGTTTACCACTTTAGGAATTGATTATTTTATGTTGAAGTTTATGAAACGGGACACCCAGCCAAAAAGCGACAGGGTTACCTGTTGACCTGCTTCAGTTAGCGGCTACTACATGTGAAACTGGCGGATATTCCGAATAGTGAATCATTCTAGTGTAGTTGCAAACGATTTGTGGCTCAAAGAGGCTGTCCAAAGTGATTATAAAGTGATAAGGGAGGCTCTCTTCTTCTCCCCCACCTGAATCCGGTGTCATAATCAAATCAAGAAGACCGGAGGCGGGAGAGATCGCCGGTAGCTGTCACGACTAGGAGTACCACCACACCACCTGGTTCACAACGCACACCGACTAGGATTATATACCCCAACTCCGAATACTGCCCGGGAGGGAAGACTAGCAAGGCATGAGTGGCTTTTGTCGGGCCATACTGATAAAAAGGAGGAAATGGGCAGTTTTGCCCTGGATTTGAGTGAGACAGCCACGAATCGCGACTAGTATCCAATCATCGACAAGTATTACAGACAAAGAGTACAGACGCTCGCATGGTCCTCCCTAGGTAACTACAGTAGGTGGGCTAACTCATGAAATTTCAACCGAAATTCTGAAATGCGTTTTCGCTTCGAAAATATTAATTAAGTAGGGTTCTAAAACTAGTCAGCTTGCAACATAATCCTATAATATTTCAGTTATATCAGGATGCCAGCTATCGAAAGAACTTCGTTCCGGCCGCATGCAAAAACTACACTGTAAAAAATGACTACTTATCTAGCGTGAATTTTTCTTATTGATTTTCGATGCCCCTAAAAGTCTCATTATATTTCATGGGAAACATGCACAAAAATATCCGATCATTCGTTTATTCGGTAGAAAACTACCTCTTTTTCCAATCTTATTGCTCAAGAGAACGCTATAATTCGGTTTTCAAAAACTTTTCCAATTCCCGAATAATTTCGAACCCGACCTGCCGTTGCGCATGGATTCAGGGTTTCCAAACTACAAGCCGTATATTTTCCGTGCACGGAAAACCGTAAATTTCTCTACAGTATTAAGAGGAGACCATATGGGGTTCATAAAATTTAGCAGTGGATTTGAGCCATTATGTTAACTTTACAAGCCAGATTGGTAAATGCAGGGACATGACGTTTTACGAAGGGCCATTTCACGTTATTAAAAAATCTAACAATTTTCAAAACCAAATCATACTCCTCCTTGGAGTATAAAATTAGAAGAAGACGTAGTTTTCTACCGAATGAGCGAAAGAATGGATATTTTTATGCATGTTTTTCTTAAAATATAATTGGACTTTTAGGCGCATCGAAAATGAGTTAGCCCACCTACTGTAACCATTAGCGATAGCCCAGCCAGGGGTTCTTGTGAACTTAAGGCCTAGTCATCTAACACAGCTAACCCAACGCTCTACCCGTTGGAGCTACTGGGCTAGCTCCTTGATGAAAAGCCGCATGTGAGTACTATCCACCTATCTCCATCCTGATTGCAGAACGGACACGGCTAGGTCATCAACGACTGTTAACGAAAAATAAGGCAGAAATGACCATTCCAGGGTTTATCATCTTTGATATTTTGGCAGATTTTGAATAATTCATCATCTTTGCCCACAAGACTTATTAACGTAAACAGAATTTTCGGTCTGGGCTTTTAGCTAATACCTGTGTTGTTAGTACGGTAAATTATTACACAATGCTATACTACTGGCTGCCTGTTGGCGCTTTGTGAATATTAAGCGGTTATTCCGCAGTAGCTGATGGATTTCAGCTCAAATATTCATATCAAATTTCGGACCGTGCCTGAAAAGGCCTGTTTCGAAAGAGTTACTCCAAGTTCGCGCATTAATTTCTTCGGAAATTAAGCAAAGCAAGTTGAAACTGGAGTTCATATACCAGAAAACACAGGGGGAAAGCTGGGGGACCCACTGACGAGCCGAACCCCTCGCAGCTGCGTCAGGTAGCGGCACAAGATCGGCGAAACACGCGTGTCTGGGCTTTTAGCTAATACCTGTGTTGTTAGTACGGTAAATTATTGCACAATGCTACACAGCAAAGTCTACAAGACTGGCCCGGTGATCCAAAACCTTACACGGTTTCACGGACCACTGGAAGAAGACTATCGCTCTGCTGAAAGACAAAATCAGTGAACGGCAGCAGCAGGCAGAGAGCAGACAGACAGCAGACTTTCTCACCACATGTGTTCGGCATCGCGGACTGATGACTCTCAAACAGCGTCAAGAGGCGACCTGACTCCAGGGAGATGACGCAGACCTCACCAGTGGTCAGACCCACGGCAAAGGAGTCCGCATCAGTGGACAGGAAGGTGACTGATGTGGGCAGAGAGGCAGCGGCGGCGGCGGGGGCCGACGGTGGTAGCAGGGCAGCGGGTCGGTAGACTCGGTTGGCCGCGAGACTGGTCGGTGGAAGTGTTGCGGCGCTGGTGTTGCCAGTGCCAAATGCCGACTGTTGAAGACTAGGCGGGATGTTCCAGAGACGGACTGTTCCATCTGCAGAGGCCGATAGGAGGACCCCATCGGCCTGAATGAAATCAGACGACAAGATGTCCGTAAGCAATACAATTTACGTGGTTCGTATCTTCAAGAAGTACGTTTCAACCATGGTAACCAGCGATGACCGTCGTGTTCCCCACAGTATGATAGGCACAGGGGTCGTGACTTACAGTGGGTGACCGATCGCATGAAATGTTTGCTGAAATTCTGAAATGCGTTGGCGATTAGGACGGATTACTTGGGCGTGGTTGTAATACTGATTATCTTGCTGTACAATTCTATAATATTTCGGCCGTGGCAGGATGTCAGCTTTTAAATACAGTGCTTTTAGAAATCCTGTAGAAAGCATACTTGGTAAAAAATGACTACTTAAGTAGCATGCATTTTTCCCATTGAATTTCGATGGTCTTGAAAAATCAAATATATCTTAAAGAAACCACAAAAAACAGGCCTTCTTTCAGCCGTTTCATAGAGAACTACGTCTTCTTTATAGTTTATACTCCAAGAAGGAGTGTAATTAGGTTTTAAAAAGGTTTCCAAATGCGAAATTTTTCAAGACCGCGCAATGCCCATTCATACAGCATTGTACCTGTCAGTCTACCACTGTTCCTCATAAAATGTACATCATAGTCCGTATCCATTGCAAAATTTTAAAGAACCCACATGGCAACTTTTTAAAGGCATAGAAGAATATGTGATTTCCTTTATGCGGAGCGCATGCACCTTGTAGACTGAAATCACTAAGTGCTAGTGCAACGACTAATCAGGTTCCACGTTATTCGGCAACTAGAAAACTTATTTAAAACCTGATTATACCCCTTCTTCGAGTATAATATATAAAGAAGGCGGAGTCCTCTATCAAACGACTGAAAGAAAGCATATTTTTGTTCGTGCTTTGTCAAAAATATATTTGAATTTGCAATACCATTAAAAATCAATGGGAAAATGCATGCCAACTAAGTAGCCACTTTTGACCAAGGACGGTTTCTACAGGAGTTTGAAAAGCACTGTATTTAAAAGCTGACATCCTGCCAAGGCCGAAATATTATAGGCTTGTGCAGCAAGATAATCAGTATTACAACCGCGCCTAACTAATCCTTCCAAATCGAAAACACATTTCAGAATTTCAGTCAACATTTCATGAGATCGGTCACTCACTGTACGCGTGAGTTAGTTTATGGTGCTATTGGACTTGCGCAACATCTACCGCACTCTCTGCTTACTCACCTACCTGCCCGAGCCCCCCCCCCCCC